AAAGAAGCAGGCCCACTGAAAAAGGCCTTGTCTGCTAACCTGGAAAAGTTCTTGTGTAAATGACTCACTGGAGACGGGATCAGTCATTTTTACAGCTGCCCCATTTTCCTGTTAAAAATTTTGTCCTCAGTCTTTTCAGGAGAGGAAGAAGCGAAGCTACATTTATATTTGGACCATGAAGTAAGTTCCACAGATGTGTGGGACAGGATTGGAAGGCAGAAGGTGGGTGGCACTGTGGAGTTGTTCTCCAGGCTTTCTGGAGTGGGACTGGAGAGAAGAAATGGACAGTGAGAACCACTTGTGGAGACTCTAAATTGCTTAGGGAAACTGAAGGTAGAAGGCTCATGGGAAAGTGAGGGAGCAAAGCTATTCTATTTCACTGGGGGCAATGCCATGAAATGTCTGTAGCATGGGGTTAACCCACACTAGTTCCAAGACTCACTATACTCTGCCCTTATGTATTAAAACAACACAAAGTTAAAGATCAGTTGCCTCCATTGGCAACTGACTTGCAATTATGGTCCTAGTATGGTCTTTGGATAGTTGTCAAGTTTCAAATCTAGGCACAATATATATAGGGGAAAATCTGCAACCATCTAATACAACCACCCTCCAAAGACAAAATTATATAAAATCTCACAACATCCTTGGTTTATAGGTGTTTTTTTTTTTTTTTTATCATAAAATTAACACTCAAATTTCAAGTAGCAATTCACTCATTAAATGTCTAAAAAAAGTCTACTATTGTAACAGAGAAAACTTACATCCAACTGCTTCAAGGTGCAAAAGGCTGTTTATCATCTGATGGCTTAGAAACTACACGAGGAGGCTTCAAAAAGCTCATGGACAAATGGACTTGAAAGACAATGGAAAATTTCCACTAACTCTTTGAAGCCCCCTCTTGTATATAGTCCGAGGGACATCTTGTGTTACTTTATAAACTCACACAAGTTTATAGCCTACACCTCTCGGTAGTCAACAGTCTCCAACCCTGGTTCACTGATTGTTCTCAGAACTATTCAGTTCTTCAGCCTTAGAGAACACAGTTCTTTTCCTAGGGTGCTCGAGAGCCAGTCTTTGGGTTCAATTCAACATTGTCTTCTTCATAGGCACTTAAATTCCAAATTAGTCTGGTGTTCTGAAGCCTGCTAAAAGAAATTCTCTGAACTACACTTGCTGTCTGAGCATAAAAAAATAGCTTTGAATTCTCTAAAACATACAATATACAGATCTTCTGATGCCATTTTCAAGGGCAAATTGTTCAGTACTCTTCTCTTGAGCTCACAAGTCCTAATTCTGAGTCTTTGAGTCCTCAGAGATGACCAAATTCTTTCACAACTCTGGAGCGGCCTTCCAAACTTTCCTTTGAGAAAGTTCTTGGTAGACCTTTGAAGATGCCATCATCTGCCTGGGGATGTGTAGCAGAAGTACTGCTTTTTCCCTTTAGACATTCTAAATCCAAGGAGAGTGTAAGAAGTGTGATATAGATGCTATTTGTAAAACACAGTTATTAGATTTGTTAACAATACAGTGTTCCAACTGAATACAATTCTGTGTTCTTAAACATCGCTGCAAAAGAAATCTGAGGTAATTTTATATCTGGGCCACTATTAGTATGGGCCTAGCAAAATGTTAAGCACTGCATTTAAAAGGTGAGAAATTGTGTCAGAAAGTCAGAAGCTGAGTCAGTCAGTAACAGCTACAAATGGGTAACAAAACATCAGATTAGCTAGCTTATCTGTACCAAAGCAAATGTCTTTTTAGAAGACTTAGGCAATCTAAAGACTGGTGGTGGTGGTGTTCTTAAGTGCCACTGAGTGGGTTTCCACTCATAGTGATCCTCTAAAAGGTTTCTGAGGAACAGTTGGTGGGTTTCAACTGCCAGCTTTGTGGGCCTTGCAGTTAGCAGCCCAGTGCTTATCCTACACAACACACTAGGATTTCAAAGATTGGTGGATTTAGTATCTTTTTTGGTTTTGCTGGTGGCAGTAGTAGAGGGCTATGGGAGAGACACTTCTATTTAGTGTGATAAGGGGACATTTAGACAGCTAGTTCTGGTCCTTTCCCACCCTCACTGCAATTCTGTCACCTTGGTTACAGGGAACATTTCCACGGATATGATTGCTCTTCAGATTGTGGCCTCCTGAGTTTGTGGTGGGAGACCTGCTTAACAAGAGGGCTGGTGGGAAAGGAAGAAGAGCTACTGAGTTTGTGGTTCAGAGGAACGCTGGATGAGAAAGTCAATGTGCTGCCTAAAGCTGCTACAAAACTTCACTGCCCAGCAGGGTCAGATGCTAGACTTGAACCCACTTTCCTCTGTAGATTTCTTGCTAGGATCCCTCCTCCTCTCAGTAAAGCACATGTGTGTGTGTGTATGTGTGGTGTTAATTAGCACAAAGTGTAAGTACAGAATGGAGCATTTACCTTTGTGGGGGGAGCCATGCACGCATACTATTCTGGCTTAACTCCAGGACTTGAGAATGTGGAGTTTTCACATGAAGGTTTTCTCTTGAATGGACTTTGCCCCAGTCTAAGGTAAGATGCTACAATGAGAGTACAGCTCTTGTAACTGGTTGCCCCATTCAGGAACATGACTTCAGAAGAATGGAAACCATTCAGCTAGTCCACTAGTCACAGGAAGAAAGGAGGGAATAGCTACAAAGAGCCCCCAGGTTGGTGGCATGGGCCATAGCTTCACTATTTTGAGAGGTAGAGGTTGTTTTCGTCAGCAAAGACTTTTTTGACTAATCTGGGAAAAAATGTCTCCTTTCTTAAGCTCGCTCTCCTATCTCTGCTTCCAAATGTCCTTTCTCTTGACTCCCAGAGTCAACAGGATGTATGATATTTCAAGAATATAATAAGCAGCTCCTCTTTCACAATGGGTATAAGCAAGTTGGCATAGCTTGGAATGTATAGTATTACAGAAATACAGTGATATACTGAAGACTGGGGGCACGGTGACGGTCCGATAAACACTGGACTGCTAACCACAAGGTCGGCGGTTTGAACCCACCAGCTGTTCCATGGGAGAAAGATGAGGCTTTCTGCTCCAGCCAAGATTTATAGCCTCAGAAACCCTATACAGGGTTGCTATGAGTTGGAACCGACTCGACGACACTTAAGAACATACTGAAGACTATGGAACAAAGTACATCTAATCTTTTAGCTGAAATCTCAAACATGTTGGGCCTGTGACAATGGAATTTCATAAAACTTTTTTTCACTGAGACAGATACCATGCTACAAGGAATGATAAGCTATTTGTTCAGTCTGGGGTGGAATGTTTTAATTACTGTCAGCACATAAACATACTGAGAGTGAGCCTAATGCATAAGCCCTATAGAAACAGCAAGGCAGATACATAAAGTGCTAATCTACCAGGAATTTGGGATTCTTGGTTCTAATAGAAATGTTCACAAAGCTGACTCTAGTATGTAAATTGGTCTCATGAAGTTGCCCTTGAAAGCAGAATTTAGTTTCCCTAACACAAGTTCTTAGAGGCCTGCTGTAGAACTATAGGATCAGCAATGGACTACAAGGTCAGCAGTTCAAGCTTATTAGTTTGAACTCTTTGGAAACCCGCCACAGGATTGCTCTGAATTGGAAGCAACTCAATGGCACTAACAACACCCCAAGTTCTTAAGAAAGAAAAAAAAAATAAAAGGCTTCGGCAAGGCAGCTGCAGGTGCCAAAGTTTTGTGTACACCTTGAGGCAAGATCAAAATACCTTCCTGTTTTTCGTTACTCCCCCAATTTTCTTCATATTCACAACTCAATGGTTAAAGGAAAAACTGAATGCACTGCCATTTTCACACAAAAGAAATGTGAAACACATGTTCATACACATGCTCTTCTGCCTGATACCAATAATTTAAAAGGTTTAAAAATAAAATGCTTACTGTATAATCACATTAATTTAAAGCTGGAAGAAATCTTAGTGATCCACTAAATCCATCTCTTTTATGGTTGAGGAAGCTTACTTTTAAGAGTTAAGAGATTCACTCAAAGTCACACAGCTAGTAGAGACAAATATGGAATGAACCATTTTTGTGTCCCCCTACTCCAGTGCTAATTTACAATTATAGCCATTTCTCCTTGACAGCATGTCCCTCATTATTGTTAGTGATAAAGATGACTGATATATATATATATATATATATATACACAGACCCAAGATCAGGCTTTCAGGAATCTTTTTAGAATACAATAGCTCCATGAAGAACGAGGAAAACTACTTGATGAAGGAGAATCTTTGGCAGAGGTGTTCCCCTCCCTTACCCCCTTCATGAAGCTCAGTTCTGACCCAATAACACTCAAGGCACCTACTTCCAATTCCTCTTCTGTAGGGATGAGGGGACAAAGCCACACTTCTTAAATTCTTTGACATTTCTTATTTATAAAAAAAGGTGTTGGCATGTTTGCTTTGGCTCTGTATGTCAGTACTCTATGAAGGAGACTGAAACCTTTTAAGTAGCTGTTTTTGTTTTTTTTTACTCTGGTTGGAATGAATCCCTACTCTGCCAATCTTGATCAACGAAAATAGATGCTATCACCCACAGTGGGCAGCCTTCTAGAGTTTATATGTAAGACCACTGATTCTTCTGGTATAGAATTTCTCCTACCAAATGTTTGGTTTAACACAAAGGAGCTTTTAATTGGAGATGGAAGGGTAAAGGGTAGAAGAAGTGTCATCAGGTGACAATTTTTTTCTCCTTGCACTGACACTGAGTGAGTCTTATGCTTGGTCTTCAGTTACTGTAATAGATACTTGTTTTATGACCATTCTTTTCCTTAGACTATAATTGGGGAGATACCCCAATTTAAGTACAGAAAAGCAAGATTTTGCAGCAAGGTCAGCTGCTCAGCTGTTTGTCTCTGTGGATTTGGGCAGTTTACCAAAAGGTTTTTCCACATATGGCTAATGTAACTTAGAAAGAAGGTCTCATGTAGTACAATCAGGGACTGTTCTGACTGACAACAAACTTCAGTGGATGCCCAGCCATTCTATTGCTGCAAGAGGTAATGACCAAATACTTTACTGGCTTTTAAGCATCATACAATTCAAGCCTTTGATGAGAAAACAAAGGCTTCACCAAAGTGATAATACAACAGACTTGCAAACAATTTCTGAATGAAGACAGCATCTCTCTGGCTGTCCTTGTGAACATGACCTTTGGGAACCTGAAAATAGTATGGAAAGGCATTTGTAATTGAGTTTGTAAGAGTGATTTGTTAGGCAGGGGTTTTCAGTTCTTAAAAACAATATTGAATACGTAAGGAGCATTCTCAAGAATGAAGTTCACTTTAGCATGGCTCTGTGTTCTCCTCTGGCTATGTGAGACGAGAACTCATACCGATCATGGCTTCGATATCCACACATGTTACACTCAAAAGGATCACGGAAGCCATGGCAACCCATGTGAATGGTGAACATCACATAATCTAGGAAGAGGACGCGACAGTGGTCACACCGGTACACATCCATCACCTCCCCTTCTTTGTTGATGACTTTGATGGAGTCTCTTGGGCAGATTGGTGGGGCCTTGAGGAGTTCATAAGAGCGCGTGACCTCCTTGAAGAGTGGCATCCCATTGCGGGCCCGAGGAAGGACCATGTGACTTTGCTGGTAAATGTGATTTGGGCGTTCTTCATGGTTGCTGTCAGTGTCTGTGGAGTCGTGGCCACTGTTGTTGGGGGAGAGGCCTCTTTCAGAAGGCATGCTCTTCTCTGACAGATGGATGTTCTTTTTCTCCAGATCCTGGGGGGCACCATTGGGCATCTCAGCACGGGTGAGAGCAATCGGATACATGCTGCTGATAACTGGAACCATCTCTGAGGTGGGAGCAGGTGGGGTCTGGACTAAAGGGCGCAGGGCTTCTGCGCCGAGATAGCTGATGGCATTATTGATGGCCTGGTCCATCATTCGGGTCTGCATCATCTCACTCTCTTTTTCATACATATAGTTGGAATTATAGTTGACATCAAAGCAGTGGCGCTTCTCACCTACAACAGGTGAAAGAAAGGGTTACAAAGGCAGAGACTTAAAAAAACTTGCTTCCCAGAGTTTTCAAAAGTGAAGAAGTGGAAAAAAGTGAAGAAGGCGGTATTGCTGTTTCAAGAAACCCCATCCCAAGCAGAATGGTTCCAAACAGTGCTGAAGTCTCATGAGATGCTGGCTGGTAGTAATTCAGTTATATACAGAAGAAACTAAGCCAACAGGCAAATGGGAGAGTCAGAGGTGCCATGAGGATGGGACTACAATGCACTGTGTCCACGGGCCACATCAGAAGGGAATTTGAGAGTGAGGAGGAGAAAAAGAAGCTAAGGCACAGAGAGATGGGGTTTAGAGGGGCAAGGGAGCCCCCACTGTATACAGGAGCACGAGAGGCTCACCCATCGTTCATGAACCCTTGAAACATGAAATTAGGAAACTTCCAACTCTTGTTTTGGTCTGCTATTTTCTGCTTGTCCTAACAGACAACCAGGGAGACAGAAGTGCTACCAAAGTGGGAGTGTTCAGTGACCGGCCTCAACAGGCATCAACCAGCTGGAGGTAGAGCAAAATAACCCCCAAATTCCAACTTACCACTCTCAAAACACACTAGTCACCAGACTGACAGAGATTTCGGCAAAAGAGCTTCAAATGCAGAAAGCTTTAGGAAAGTTCTCCTGATGTGAGTTCATGATCTTTGTCCCTTTCATAAAGTGTGCTACTCTTCTTTTTGTTTTAAAAAAAAATGTGTCAACAATACGTATATGGTCATATATAGATGAGGTTGGTCACTGGGACCTACCTCACGCTTAACTGACAAAATATATCTGTGGTTACGTCTCCTGCTTCTTATGTCAAACTGCTGAGCTATTTTGAACACCTTCAGGGTGTGGGTGTTGTGTGTTAGAGAACAGAGGCTCTCTGGCCAGAGGAAAGGCAGGAACAGGGTCTGCACGGATGGCAGATGAGCTCAGTGGAGAGTAGCTCATGGAGGGAAGAGAAAACAGAAGATGTCTTGAGTGCTGGAAGGGAGACTAAGGTTATTTTTGGTGTTCTTTCATTCTGTGGCCCTTGGATTCTAGAGCTATTTGCTGAACCAGCTCCCTCTGTTCTGTACCTTTCCTAGGCATGTTGTGGTTCTAAAACGTGTCACTGCCATACAGTAAAGGGCTCATGAATGAAAATAATCATGTAAATAAACTAAAGGACCAGAATAACTAGTTCCTGTTTTTGAGGTGTCTCCAACCTGTTGTTGTTAAATGCCATTGAGTCGGTTCCGACCCATAGTGACCCTGTACAGGGTTTCTGAGAAACAGCTGGTGAGCTTGAACCACTGACCTTGCGGTTTAAAGTGATCTTGCAGTCCAGTGCATTAACCCATAGCCGTGGAATTGGAGACAAATTATATGTTAAAAGTTATAAATGGGCTGCTTTGCTATATGAAGGCCTTTGATTTGATTTTAAATTTCACATTTGAGACATGTAAGCATAGAATAACATGCCTTTTATAAAAAGAATGATAAGGCTCTGATTTTCATCAATTTGGTGAACTTGACCTACACCTATGGATGCAGTAGCTCAAAAGAGGGAACAAATCTTTACAGCAAGGATCATTCCCATCCCCTCCACACACAGAGTCAGCAGGGATGGGCCACTTGAACTTGGCTACCCAAAACGGGGGGGGGGGGGGAGAGGGGCTACAAAGGCAAGAAGTGACTGGCTTACAAGCTTTCAAGAGGGAACCTAGATCCCTAGATCCAGAGGGCGTGGAGGAAGGTAGAATCTCCACTGAGTAGTATCCAATCTGTCTGGGCGGGGCTGATGAAATGAGGATAGGTCTCTTGTGATATAACAGTGAATAATTGTTATCAGGACTGATTGTGAGGGTTGGAAATGTCAAGGTAGACGTTTTGTAGCGAGGAGGGGAGTGATTAACTTTGCAGTCTAGGAGGCATAAACGATGACGTGGAGAGATGGAGCAGCTAGGGACTTTAGACACAGAGAGGGAGAGGGGCTGTGTGCTGACAACTGGGGGGCAGGCTTGCAGGGTATACCCTTTGGTTGGTTAATGATGCATGAAGGGGATTGTAACCATGGCAATGAAATAATATACGGTAGAATGAATGTAAAACTAATGTTCTCCCATGTAAACTATCACATAATTCACAATAAAACATTAAAAACAAAACAAACAAACAAAAAGGTCAGCATTTACCTAAGGACAAAGTTAAGAAGGGATGGAAAAGAGGATAGAATAGAAATTTAAACCAAAGGAAGAGAGATAGCTATTGTTGCATGGAGGGGATTGCAATCATTGAGATGAAATAAAGTATATGACTTGTTGAATGTGAAAAAAAAAAAAAAAAGAATGATAAGGCAACGTAAACATAGGGCAAGACAGTTTGGTATAAATTGTGTATTTAAGCGTAAGGAAATGCAAACAATTCAAGAATAGATGGAGTTGGGAACACATTCTGGGAAAATCTAGGTGAACTGATGAACTGGTCTTGATGAACTGATGAGGATTTAGATTTTCAGGTTTAGATTTTAGACAGCCTAATGAGAGGGAGAGGAGAGTCCTGGTGTGGTGTTGTGGGTTAATGTGCCAGACTGCAAAGTCAGTTTGAACCACAAGGTTGGTGGTTCAAGCTTACCAGCTGCTCCTCGAAAAACCTATACAGGGTCGTTATGGGTCAGAACCGACTCAACAGCACTTAACAACAATGAGAGGGAGGGAGGTTAATGAATTCAGTGGTAGAATGCTTTCCTTCCTGGGGGAGACCTGTGTTCAGTCCAGCCCCCAGCCGCTGTAGCTCATGTGCAGGCACCGCCATTGGTCACCAGAGGCTTGCATTCTGCTATGATGATAAACAAGCTTCACAGAGCTTCCAGACTAAGAGAGACTAGGCAGAAAGGCCTAGCTATCAACTCTTACAAACCAGCCAAGGAAAACCCTGCAAGTTACAACAGTGTGAGCTGCAGCGCCTCATGGGGATGGTGCACAGCTGGGCAGTATTCCGTTTAGCTGTGCACGGGGTTGCCATGTGTTAAGGGCTGGCTGACCAGCACCTAACAATGACACGAATGAAAGCATACCGGTGGGGGGCGGGGGGAATTACACAGGACATGAACAGGGAAGAGTAAGGAGTCTGCCTAAGTTTCTATCAAGAAGCATGTAGTGAAGTATTTCTCAAACTTCCCTTACTCATAGATTCCTTCATGTTCTGACAGATCACACACCAGGGCAGTGTGGTAGACAGCAAGTGCTCCAGGACCAAAGGGGCTGGGTTTGAAGCTCATCAGTTATTAAATGTACGATCTTGGGAAAGTTGCTTAATCTGTCCACTCTGCCATGTCCTCATATAAAATGAGGATAAAAAATCACATCTACCTCCTGAGGTCATTGGAAATGTGCTTAGAATAGTGCCTGGCACATAGAAAGCATTTGGTGAATGTTAGGGTTGTTTTAGTGGTTAAATTAGTTCACTTTATTTTTCCTGGCTAAGATTAAAAAGGAGTCCTGGTGTGGCGCTGTAGGATAAGCACAAGACTGTAAGGTCAGTTTGAACTATCAAATTAAGTCTAATTTTTTCTCCTTGGTATAATCAAGAAGATCGATTGAAAGAGGGCTAAAAAGAGAAAACAATTTCCTTACCATGGGAACCAAGTTTTTAATGTCTTGCATTCCTCCTTTAGGTTTGCATCCCACAGTTTGGGAAACATTGAAGAAAGATAAATATGGTTGGGCCAAATGATGGGCAGTCTCAATGAATGAATGAGTTTGGAGTTGAACAAACCACATTATACTCTCCTTGAGCAAGAGAGGCTTGTAGTCAGACGTTACTTTCAGGATATTAATGTAACAGCAATGAGTAAAGTGTAAGGCCAAGGTGACAGTTTCTAGATAAACACCTAAAGAAGAAAAATATAACAAGAAACATCCTGCCTTGGTAACCCAATAGTAACCAACAGAAAAGTAGACTTTTCCCAAAGAAACCAATGGTTTTTATTCAACTTCCAGACTGATCACGCCCTGGTGGCTCAATGGATTAGGTATTGGGTTTCTGACCACAGGTTGGTGGTTCAAGCCTACCAGCCACTCCAAGGTTAAAGGATGAGGCTGTCTGCTCCTGTCAAGATTTATATTCTCGGAAACAAAGGAGCACTTCTGCTCTGTCCTACAGAATAGAGACTATGAGTCAGAATCAACTTCAGGAGAGTGGGTTGATCAAGACTGTCTAGAAGAATAAGACTGAGAACCCCCAAATTAGCTAATACCACAAACACTCAGTCTTTGGAAAGGACCACAGAAATGATGAACTTTGGTTTGTTTTCTTTTCAAAGTTATTGATAGTTTTTCAAAGTGACCAGCTCTACTCAACTCCCGGAATAGCTGGAACTGCTTTTAATCTTCTCACCTAATGGAGAGGGTCCAGAAAGTTTCCAGGATGAGGCAGGCACATCACAAACTGCTCTTACCCCTCCTCTCGATAGTTTGTTCTACTAACTAGGCCTCCAGCGTCACAGCCTGTACCACCTGCAGCGTATGTCAGAAAACAGCTGAGTACTACAGTTGTCAGAGACAAAACATTAAGAGGCACACAAACCCCTGGATGAGTGGAAATAGGTGACTGAGTTCTGTGGTTAGCCAGCCCAGAACACTGCTCATTGTGAAGAAGATGGGAGAGCCTGAGAGCTTCACGTGCACACAGCCTGCGATCAGCAGATCCCCTCATCTCCGAGTTACGGTAACCTGAGCGGTGCAGATGATTATCAGTCACCTGTACATACGATGACTCAATGTGTATGAAACTCAGCAGGGGTGAGCTACAGTAATTGAAAAGCCAAGAGCTCACGTTTCTTTAGTAACACTCATAAAAAAGGTTAGTCAAAACCACAAGAGTGTAACTGCTTCCAAACCCGCACGGTGCCTCTAGTCCAACAAGTAGTCAAAGCTGCACCACGCCTTGAGTGATTCATGAGACCAGCCGCAGACTAAATTAGAGATTCT